AGAAGATTCTCCCCCTGCTGCCTTTTGCATCATCTCTTTATCTCTTGTGCCAGTATTAATCTCACTCTACAGATTCATTGACTTCACAGCTCCCACTTCTAGTTGCACTGGACTTTGCTCATTTCTTTCCCCTATCAGCTCTCCAGAAGAACGTGAAAGTGTACTCTGCTTCAGATTTGTAGCAGTTTGCATTTCACCACCACATACTTCATCATTCCCCTCAATACACTTCTTGCCAACTATCTGATTTACCACCTGCTCCTCGGCAAGTTTTTTTGGAACCCACACCTTTTTTTCCTTAGCAGTACATTTCCTCTCTTCATGTCCCAGGTTTCTACATTTACCACATCTGATAGGCTCCCATTCAAAGACCACAGGTTGTTGGAACACACCCTTTGGACCAATAATAGGAACTACACGGGGCAGAGTGTCCGTTATTTCCATCTCTACTAGCATACGAGCATAAGCCACTCTTTGCCTTTTGGCTGTTAATGCATCAGTTGCAATAGGAACTCCCACATAGCTTGCTAGCTTTCCTAAGCTCTCAGGGTTCCACAGACTCAAATGGAGTTCAGGAAATTAGATCCAGACAGGAATCTTACTGATATCCAAATTGTCAGGATCAAAATCTAGAGTCCACTGTTTCAAAATCAAAGGGTGCCCATTAAATGTCCAGCGCCTCTCTAACACCGCTTGCTTTGCATTTCCATTACCAAAATCAAACAAGAAAACTCCATTTCGTAGCATAAATGCCTTAGGCACCTGGAATTCCCTCCACCTGTTATTCACGAAATTAGCAACATCCTTAAACTCAGGTTTAGATCCCAGAACATACCCAACAAGAGCATTCTCCCAAATCTTTGACCCTTTAACCCACTCATCCTCGGTAATAACCACAGCACCAGTTGGATCTTGAGGTTTTATGTATTGCAAATCCCATCCTTTACTGATATCCCTATTCCCTTCCACAACCGAAGCCCAACTACGCAGTGGCTTCTGCTTTAGGGATGGTTGAAATTCCCCTTTCTCCTTCTCAATCAGGTCACTCCACCGAGCACTAGGAGAAATCTTCGTATCGGATGTAGAACCAGCATCCTTTTCCCTAGCAGGTTGCTTCATCTGGATGACAGAAGGCTGAGTCTCAGAGTGCACTCCCTTCTTCCCCTTCGCTGCTTTCCCTTCCACGGGGCCGGCCTCGTTCTTCCCCTTATCTGCTCTATCATCCCTGGAACCAGCATCAGATCTGCTTTTCCTCTGGCCTTGCGTCGAGACAGCTAGATCTAGCAAGATCCCTTTATCGTCCCCTTCTTTATCCCCTAGATCTGGGCTCAAAACCCCTGATTTCTCAATTTCAAGACCCATCTGGTGAGAATCGCGTGCAGCAAGCTTCACGACCTCTGTTTGCTCTTTGTTGGTTTCCTTCACTGAGATGCTATTTTGCTCCCCATTATCAGCTTTCGGATCTGTTGTTTTTGTTGCAGAACCACCCTTAGGCGGCGGATCTTTCTTTCTCGGCCGGCCTCTGCCCCCCATCTCCGGCGTTTCCAGCTAA